TGCTGCTTCCGAGTGTTCCTGGGCTGCGCCTTCTTCTCCTACTTGGGCGGCCGCGCCAAGCGCCGAGGCCGCGGGCGCTCCGGGGCCGGCGGTGCCTTCGGCTCGGGCCATGGCGCCCGGCGCCGGGGGCGCGACGAGCGGCTCATCTAGTCAGACCCCCGCCCCCCGCCCCCCGCCACCGCCACCGCCACCAGACACCACCATCGCTGTGTAGTGTGGATTTTTATTAAGTATTTGTGTGTGTGTTGGGACACGTTTTCCTTTTCGGTTGCTCTGTCCTTTGGTTCGTGCTCGCCTCGCTTTTTCCACACTCTCCCTGCTCTCTGGCTCTCTCTGTGTCGCTCTCTCCTTTTCGAAAATTTTCCGAAGTCCGGGCTCGGGCTCGCGCTCCCTCCCCTTCCGCCCACCCCGGCCCCTCGGCGGCGCCCGCGGGAGGAGGGGGGCCTCGGCCTCGGGGGCCGCAGGGCTACGCGGCCCGGGGGGTGGAGCGTTGGCGTCGTGCGAGGGGTCGTCACCGGCTCGGGGCCGCCCCCTCTCCCCCCGCGGCCCGGCCCGAGTGGGGCCCGAGTCAGGGGGGCGAGGGGGCGGCGCCCCGGCCCGTCCCGGGCCGGGCGCGGGCGGAGGGAGCCCCCCTTCCCGGGCGCCCGGGGGGGCGCCTCCCTCCGTCAGCTCCCGCCCTCCCCGCCGCCGCGGCCGCTGCCGCGGCTGCTCCTCATCCCTCCTCCTCCTCCTCCTCCTCCTTCCACCCCCCTCGCCGCCGCCGCCTCCTCCTCCCCCCGCCTCCCCCCGCCCGCTGCAAAGCTTTGGGTCGGGGCGGCGGCGGGCCCGGGCCGAGGCAATAAGAGCGGCGGCGGCGGCAGCGGCGGCAGCAGCTCCCGCAGCTCCTGCTCTGGTCCGCCTCGGCCCGGCGGCGGCCATCAGCCCCCTCGGCCTCGGCTCGAGGGGCGGGGAGCTACGCGCTCCCCTCGGTCCGACCGCCAGCCTCCCTTCCCCGCGCGCCTCGCGGCCCGCAGTCCGCCCCGCGCGCTCCCCCCGGAGGAGCCGAGCCCGCGCCCGGCTCGCCCGCCCGGCGCTGCCCCGGCCCGCCCGGCCCGCGTGAGGCCGCCCGCGCCCGGCCCCGCCGCCGCCGCCGCCGCCGCCGCCGCAGCCCGGCCGCGCCCCGCCGCCGCCGCCGCCGCCGCCATGGGCTGCCTCGGGAACAGTAAGACCGAGGACCAGCGCAACGAGGAGAAGGCGCAGCGCGAGGCCAACAAGAAGATCGAGAAGCAGCTGCAGAAGGACAAGCAGGTCTACCGGGCCACGCACCGCCTGCTGCTGCTGGGTAAGGGCGGGGCGGGGGGCGCCGGCCCCGGCCCGGCTCGGGGGCCCCTCGGGGCGCCCCGCAGGCCGCGCGCGCCGAGCCCGCCCCCCGCCCCGGGCGCGCGCTCCCGAGCCCGCCGCCCGCTCGCGGGCTCTGTCTCTGGGGGGCGAGGCCGGAAGGGGGACCCCGGGGCGCAGATGCGGCCGGGCGGGGGCTCAGAATGGGGCGGGGGGCCCCCTCCCCCGGCCCGCCCGCTCTCTCTCTCTCTCTTTCTCGCCCTCCCCCTTGCTCTTTTTTCTCTCTCTTTTCCGCGAGGCCTACACGACGCCAGGGGTTTGGGTGCATGTTGGGGAGGGGGAGGGGGAGCCCCACAGGGCTCGGGAGACTGCGACAAAAAGAGGGTTTCGGGGACAGGAAATGGGGTGGCGGGCAGAGGGAGGGGGACCCGCCTCCGTGGGGTGTGTGATTTGTTGGGAGAGGGAGAAGAAAGAGGGGCCAGAGAGGAGGGGGTGACGCGGGGCGGGGGGGCGCCGCTGTGGCGGAGGGGACCTCGCCAAGGGGAGGCTTTGGCGGGGGAAGTGGCCGAGGAGAGTGGGGGGGCGGGTGACATCAGCCCCTCGGAAGGGATCGGAGTGGTAAAGGTGGTGCAGTGAGGGGGAGGGGGCGCGGGCGAGTCGTGGCGCCGGAGTGGGGGGGGCGGGGAGGAGGGAGCGCGGCCGCCGCTGGGCGCGACTCGGTGCGTTTCGGGCCGGACCCACAGTGTGTGCGCGGAGCAGACGTGTCCCGGGCCGGGTCGGGCCGTGGAAGGAAGACAAGGAGAATCAAATAAAATAAAACCAAAAAAAAAAAAAAAAAAAATGGAGTTAGTACGCTAAATGCCCAGTGAAGCCAAATGACACGTCATTTTTACAGTATGACCTTTTTATCCCCTTCCAGACATGCAGGCTTTTTGAAAAGCAAGAGAATTAATTGTAGCACCCCCCCCCCACCAAACCATTAACACACACACACACACATTTTCCTGTTAGTCGGCCACATTGAGAGTGCTTTGTGAAAGAAAAAAAAAAAGACATTCACAAATCAGAACTGGAAAATGACATTTGTCTGTAAATGGCTTCTTGGTCTGGAAATGGCGTGGTTTTTTTTTTTTTTTTTTTTTTTTGTCCTTTTCAAGGTGGGAGGGGGCATTGAGAGCGCTTTAAGGAGAAGACTTTTTTTCCAGGTGGAAGGAGATGAAAAGATGTTAATTAGTTGTTTGTCAAGTGACATTTGGTTGTTTGGTTTTGGGTTTTCTCTTGATTGCGGTTTTTCCTCTTTGGCCAAAAAAAAAAAAGGCGGGGGGGATTGTTAACTATAAGGAGATGGCCTTTCCTCCTTTTTTCTTAAGGGGGAGGGGGAGGGACAAAATAAAACATAAGCATAAAAGAAATTGAAATGACCAGAAGAATTACACAAGCATTAATTAGTATGGAAGTTTTCCACTTCCTCAGTAATTTGGCTATCTGAGTTAATTTGTGAATTTGCTAGGTTAAAACCTAGTTCACGGTCACATTTGAACAAAACAGCTTGATTATAAAGAATAAAAATGTAAAAGGCTGAATTTTCTTTGTGGTGGTGTTTGGTTTGCTTTTTTTTTGGATGGGTCACCTCTTTGTTCTCCTGGGTCCAGATTTATATAAAGCAGAAAATTATTAATTAAATGGAAATAAGTCTGGTGTTTATGCATTTGCAATTTCAGTAATTAAATGATACATATGTTGAAGTCTTACCTAAAACTTCTCAAGGTAGAATTACGCTATGTGAATTATTAATATGCATATAACTTGATTTCAAAGTATAACCCTGGAAAAGCCTAGAATCTTTCCTAGGAGTGCCATCTTGCTACCTGAATACTAATTTGAAACAAATGTGATACTAAGGGTGCCTTAAATTTCTAACACCTTTGCTCAGTGATCACAAAGTCTGCTTAATTTGAAACTGTTACTCTGAACACACCTTGCATCCCTGCAGGCTTATTTTCCCCAGGTGTCCTAGTCTATATGGCTACATTTTATCATGATTTTATTGATAGCCTCTGGCATGGGGGGTCTGCAGCCCAACTCAGTGCCACACATTTTGCATTTTTAAATGGTGGCTCTCACCAAATAATGCCCCCCCCAAAGAGGAAACCTAATGATACCCAAAATCCTCTTTTTTAAGTGCATCTTAATTTAATGACATAAAATTGAGTAAATTACAGCACCAAAAAAGATCTTGCAGTAATTTTTCAGCCCAATTCTCTAATGTCATAAATGTGGAAACTGAGGCACAGATCTGTTTGTGTGTGTGAGAGAGGTGTTACACATGTTAACACTTCTGACAAAAGAATTTGGAGATTCTGATTAATGTCATGTATTCTCTGCATGGCATCTTAATAGCGCCTTTAATATTTTAACTTATTAGAGTTGGGCTCATTAAGATAGTGTTTGCTTTTGGAATCAATGTTTCTGTGGAAACTAATTTTAACTTACAGATACTGATTACAGCCTTGTGAAAAGGCAAGAGAAGGAGGAATGCTTTGCTCTCTGGGCAGTAAAACAAAAGCAGTTAATAAAATTAAAAGTGAAAAAAAGGTAAAAACAGGTTTGTGTGGGAGGAGGGCAAAAAATTTTTCACACAAAGAGTATTTGTTGAAGTGAGTGTACATTTGCAAAAAAGAAAATGAAAAAATAGCAATCCTCCTTCTAGCTGGGTGGAAATGTGCTTTTTCCATAAAGTATATGTTTACAAATGAAAGGTGATTTAAAATGGAGGCATGTGTGTTCCTTCTTACTTTGAGAAGGGCTTGAGGAATCTGAAAATTCAGTAGCTCCCAGGAATATTTTTTCTCATGATTAAAGTCGTGTCCTTTTAATACTTTTTACAGTTGTTGCTGCATGTGATTATGGTTGTTCTCAAGCACTACATTTGCTATTAAAATGTGTTTTTCGAGAATATGACATACAATTGATGGGCTCCCATTCCCCCCTCCCCCAACATGGTGGTTGTATCCAGAGAGAATTTATCTTTAAGAAAATACCCTTTGCGGGAAAAGAGGACACATGTAACCTTGCAGGTCAGGGTTGATTTTTGAGTAGCCCAAGGGGAGAGAGAAGGCTGCCCCTACGTACAGCAGCTGCATTGTGAGAATTTGCGGGAGGGAAATGCTGCGTCAGTCCGCCAGCTGAAGGAGACTGCGGTGTCTGGGCATTGTTTGTGAATCCTGGGTGTTTTAACCATGAAACCTCCGACAAACAGTGAATTCTGTGGCTATCTACATTTATGTGTGCGTTTCACCAGTGAATGCTCCTATTTCAAGGATTCAGTTTCAGTTTTAACTTCAATTTTCTAACCCCCTCAAATGACAAAATTGCGTCATTCCTCCTCTTTGCCCCTTGGCTTCTCCACCCCACAAATTTTAAAACAACCCAAAGGGGGGAAAAATTCCTGAAAAACAGCAAACCCTTTAATTCTCGTTATTGTGACGGTGAATACTGCAGGTAGACAGAGCTGGACATGTGTTTTCATTCTCTCTGCGTCGAAATGTCAAGCAAAATTGCAAGTCTGTTGTTTTGTTTTGTTTTTTGCGTGCTGCTTCTATGGAAAAGACAAAAGTCCTCTTCCCTGCCCAAAGTGTGTAAAATGCCTCCTTCATAACCTGAGACTTACTTTCATTTTCTAGGTGCCGGAGAATCTGGTAAAAGCACCATTGTGAAGCAGATGAGGATCCTGCATGTTAATGGGTTTAATGGAGAGTAAGTGTCAACTCTGTGCAAGGGCACAGGAAGATTAACACGTTTTATACTAACCTTTAGGAAGTTTAGGTAGATTTTGGGGGCTGGGCAGCCAATTTCCACTTAATTTTTTCAGCCTGCATATTAGAAAATCCAGGGAAGAGCTCTTTGGGGATTTTCCCCCCCTCCCTCCTTTTAATCTTCGGTGCAGCAATAAATAATAATAGTAATAACAAAGCACCAGTGTTCTTATAAAAATGCCCCCCCCCCCCCCCCCCCGCCGCCGCAAGAAAATAGCACTTTTACAGATAAAAGTGGCCCCATGACAGGTCTGCCGCAGACCTGCCCACAGGTTTTGGTGCAGTGGGTCTCTAACATGGCTGACACCTGCCATGGCCACCCCCTTTGCGGGCAACCTGACCACTGCAGAGAAGCCCCCCCCCCCCGCCCCCGCACCCCAGCAGACGTCAGCACAATGCACCAACACAGGGTGTTTTAAACTATTAGGGAAAAACAGTTTCGATAATGTTCTCATGTAAAACAAAGTTGGAAAGAGGCAGCAGCCCCTGTTAATAATTCCTCATTCCCTCACCACCCCCCCCCTTTGGAATTAATATTATGGGCAAATCACTGTTTCCCTTTCTAAAAATCAATAATGTTGCCTAAAGAAAGAAAAAGACATTTAAGCGATGGAGACTGGGAATTAGGTACTTCCGGCCGGGTCAAGGGGCATTTTTGCCTTTGAAAAGTCCTTGCAGGCATCTTGGTTTAGGACAAGGTGACAATACCGCATTGAGAATAAAGATTAAAAGAGAGTGCGTGTGTATTAGGGATGGAAGAGAAATGCGGGGTCCTGCTTGCCATGAAGAATGCAAACAGAGGGGAGCATTCAATATAATCAGGGCATTTGCTTTTCTCCCCAGACCCCAAATGCCCCCCACCCTTGTGAAACAGAAAACACTAAATCTACCAGCCCTCTGCTTTCACTGGGGTGACAGCGATTCACCGCACCGGATTGCAAACACCTGAAGGCACTAGGTTGCAACTACTAGCTGGTTAGCAGTCCCGTTCCCTTCCCTAAACCTGGATTCAGTTGAAAACTTGTCTCTCCCTTGCATCCCATTTAGTTTCAAAGGGGGACATTGAGTCAGGGCCGCATAGTTTCAGTTATGCACCAAAACCCCACAAAAAAAACCCAATAAAAAGCCACTTACAGAAGCCTACTATGCACCAAGCACTGGGGACACAAAGATGAATTTTACCACCTTTCAGAGGTAAAAGGACTGCCCTTAAAGGCAGCTCTTTATGGAACATTCTAGAATTTCTTCATTCAGATAATCGGGGCTGAGGATGATGTCACGCATACAAATGGGCGTTTTAGTTTAAGATGCTCTCTATGCTTTAAGCACGAATCTAGGAGGATGGGCTATTTTACCAATTTTATGAGTGACTCAGTGAGTTACCAATACGCACATACATGCGGCTAATTAAATACTCACTTTCACTTGTCACAAAGCAATTCTGAAATTCTTAATTCCTGACACACCCTTCAAAAAGCCCTATTCCCAGAGATTGTCAGCGGCTGATAAACAAAAAGCCAGAAACCGACTTTTAACTATGTGAATTTGTAATTTAAAGAAAAATCTTGTATAATTATTTCCCCCGTAACTTGCCGGGGAGTGCTTCTTCATGAGGCTAGTTAAGCAAAAATAATTTGACCACGTACCCTCTAGATAAATATTTTGATTAAAACTGGACATGGCTAGCGTTTTTAAAAGGATGCAGCCGCCGCTGTTTACCTTAGCTCGAGTCCAGCAGAAGGTAGGACATCCTTGCAATAATTTACTTAAGGCTTTATCACTCTCCAGGCTGCCCTACAATTTTTTAATTTTTAGAGAAAGGATTCTCCTCCCTTGGCGAGCCGGTCTGTAATGCACATGAGGCATTTAAACCAGAACTTCTCTTTTCTGTTTTCTTTTTAAAAAGAGGAAGCGACATTCCCAGTGTGCCTGCCTTGTAGAGGAAGCCATAGGTAATCTCTCAGGATGTTAAATTTAGCCTGTGGAAGTGACATACAGGGGAATTCTTCGTGTGAGTCTAGAAACCTTATTTTTGTCTCCTTCAAGTGAGCCTCCTTTTTTCTTTTTCCTCAGTGCGGTATTGCAACAAAAGCAGTTGCCTTCTTCACTAGGAATTCCCTATGAAATAATGGTGACATCCATCCATTAAAGGGTGTTTTGCGTGGTGCAGGGCCTTTTCCTCCTCGCTCCCGTAAATGTGCGCTTTGTTAGGGCTGGGCTGAGCTATTAAATTTGCCTTAACTATCTGCAGACTGCCGTGCCAATTACAGTTGTAGGGTAAGGTGTAATATTAATCTGACCTTGAGAAATACAGAGGTCAAGTGTGGATTTTCCTAACTCAAAAGCTAACTCTTCCTTACAATTAGTATCGGGGAAAAAAGGTGCCATTAACATTGGTTGAGCTAATAAGCTAATCAATTACAAAACCATGTAGAACGCTTAGCCATCCTGCCCTTCCCACTTCCAAGGAGGAATTCCTACCATTTATGAAGATTGGTTTTTGAGTAGGGTTTGTTTTTGTTTTCTTTTTGTTTTCTTTTTTTCTTTTGCTGCCTCCCACGGTGCAGACACACAGTTTTAATTGATGGCAATTTATCGGGAACAGTTAATATAAATAAAAACACTTCATAGGTAGTTTCCCCGACTATAAGAAGGGAGGAAATTAATACTGCACCAGGAAATCATGGGCAAAAATCACCCATGTCTGGGCCTTTGTATGTTCAGATACAACATGGTAAAGATCTGGGAGAATTAAGGAGCCTGATGTGCTGCTATATTCTCAAAAGAATTGTGAGATAAATCACGGCTTTATCTCCCTAATGCATGTACATTTAGTGAAAGCACAAGAAAATAATTATCCGTCCCTTCTGTATACCCGACCAGAGAGTCTCCAGAGGGCTCGGCTAATACGGTGGCGGAGGTGTGGCATTCTTCCCTCCACGGCCTACAGTCTCAGTAGACCTTCCAACTTAGCCAGAAAGGCGACTAGGACTGAATGGGAGGATGGCGGCCATTTGTTTAGGAATGTAGAGAGGCTGTGTGGGGTTTTGGGAAATTGCGGTGCCTTGCAGATTAGGTGAGCTTTCAATCTCTCTTTAAAAGGGGCGGCGAAGAGGACCCGCAGGCTGCAAGGAGCAACAGCGATGGGTAGGCACATTCAAAAACAGAAAAACTTTTTAACAAACAAACAAACATGAAGATCATACTGGGAAACTGAGGGCTGAGCCCCGGGGGAGGAAACAAAACTCATTTCAGGGCCATCAGCCATCTTGGTATACGTTTTCACGCAACACCTGAACAGTCTTTGACATTTCAGAGCCAGTGAAGTGCAAAACATAATTTTGGGGGGGCCATTCTTTAAATATAATTAAATCCAGCTGGGGGAAAAGTTACAGATTTCAGCGTTAGACGATCAGTTTAAGATTTTGAGAATTGATGTTTTTCCATATGGTTTCTGTTTCCCCACCCCTACCCCAGCTGTCCGTTCAAATTGGCTACTTGTTTTAAAACTATCTACTAAATTCCCATCCACCCAGTGCTTGGTCTGATGTAAAAATTTCAGACTTGGGGGGGGGGGTGGAATCTTTTTCCCATATCAAAATACGTGGTGCTGTACTGTCTGTAATTTGGAGAGGAAAAAAAAAAAAAGTGCCTCAGCACCTTGCAGGACGTCATTGTTAAGAATGATCTCAAAGCCTCTGATCTTTTTAAGATTTTCTAGTATATTTTCAATTGGAGGCATATTGCGTTACTAGCTAGTGGATAGGAAATTCATGATGGCATCCGCTTTTTTTTTTTTTTTCCCCATTCATTATCCATTTTGTTTTCCTTCACTTCCTACATCCCCACTCCCCATTACATGCCTACATGCACTCGCATGCCAGGTAACCGTTGGAGGTCTGCTTGCATATTCAGCATGCAATGAGGAAGCAGCTTTTTCTCATGAGGACAGAGCTGATTGACCTAGCCTAGGGCATCTCAAAGAAATAGCCTCTGTGGCCGGGGTGGGGCGGGGCAAAGGATCCTGGGGTCGGGGACAAAGTAACTTACACATGTTTGTTCATCTGTTTCTTTTAGAATATATTATCCCTAGATGATGGCTACAGTTTCTCATCTTCCCGGCTATGTCCTATCACACTTTGCATGCTGGAATTGCCTGGTCTTAGGAACTTCTAATAAGAATACTATTCTGTTGTGGGGGGGAGGGGGATGGGGCCCTACCACCTAACCTCAAAAGATAACTGAAAACAACAACAACAAAAATACAAAAAAAACCACACACACACAAAAAACACAAAAAAATATGGCATGAAATCCTTAATTGGCAAAAATGTAGTGTAATAGCAATCCAAAAAAGGCATCTACATAAAAGTGACTGACAGTTTACTGTACCAAAAGTTGGCATTTGAGAAATATGACAAGCCCTTATAGAACCACCTAGTATGTGCTAGATCCCTGAACCCTACTAATACCTTGCCTGCACTTCTCTCTGTGACTCTGTTCTGCAAGTAAATATAAGAATTAACATACGTGATAAATAAAAATTCTCTGCATGTCTCAGCAATCCCTGTATCTTGCGTCTGTCTTCTGTCTTTCTTCTTTTGTCTGTCCTTTCCCACAAAAGCACGAAGATAAGGTATAGGACGGAAAGAGACTCTGGGGACAACTCTAGCCTCCCCCTACCACTTAGGCAGCTGACGCGGGGGAGAGAAGGGGCTCCTAAAATTCAAACCCAGACAACAGGCTTTTATATACATGTTGGGGGGAGGAAGGGGGCAATGTGCTATGAGCACTTCTAGACCCAGCCCCGATATTTTAGTCCGTCCAGATTGTAGCAGTTGATACATAATTTGGCTTTGTTAAGTAGTTGAGAGACATCTGAGGGATTTTCTCTGAATTTCACAATGTTAAATTCATTAAGCGATAGTAAAAATGATGATAAACCTGCCAGCCAGTATAATATCTCCATCTACATAGTAATTGCTTCAATGGAAGAATTTTATGTTTTAGTATTACACACCCGAATTAGATTTTAGATTTCTATTTTAGCTGTTTTATACTTGATACACTCCCACACCTATTCACATACGTAGATGAATACTGAACACGTTCTCAAAATATCCGTATTTAAGACTGGAAGTTTTCCAATTATCATACTACTACTTAGACCAAAATATCAAACTGAATGAAAGAACCTAGTTTCTGGAAGTACTTTCCTCTTGCTGTACGTACATTTGGGTATTTAATACCAGGACATCTCTAATTTTAACTACTGTGGAACCTTGAAACTGAAGGTTAATGGCTTTCATTTACCATGGAAATGGAGCCTGTTTTTAATGAATGGGAATGGATTTCTCCTGTGGGGTTTTAGGTAAACTTGAGCCCACAAGTGAACATTAGGGGCAAACACACATCCTTTAAAAATTTCTAATGTCTAAATAACTGATTTAGACTCTAGCACCGAGTCTGGACATGGTTCCTAATTTCAGAAACGAGCTTCAATGGTGCACGTACAAAGCAGAAAAGTCCCACAGAAGGGTCAGGACTCTGGATCCCTTTTCAGTGTAGGGTGGTTGCATAAAGTGGGGGGGCCAGAGCCGGACCTCCGATCGGCGTGTGTCGTGGTTTATAGGACCGCTTACTATCATGTCTGTTACTCAAGTTCTCCTGACTTCAGCACTTTTAAGTGGCCCTGAGGGGGTTCCTGGTACCATTTACCTCCCCCCCACACATACACACACACACATACCCCAAAGCCTACTGACCCTCTCTCACTGGTGAGAATACTTCTAAACTAGATTCTTACTCTATGAAAAGCAGTTTCTCTGAGGCCAGTTTACCAGAAAGAGGGCTGACCCTGGAGAAGGGATGAAATGAAATCAAAAAATCAGGGCCCACCCCTCAGATCAATATGTAGATCTTTCTTTTGATAAGAATAAACCGTGCAGGAAACATTAGCTATTACAATTCCTTGGAAAACTCAGGACCGGGATCGGGTTGGCAGGCGAGCCCATGACCCCTGCACCCCGATCTCCCTTCCCTGTGCCCTGCCCTACGATTAACCCTACTGCCAGCCTGTAGGTGCTATTAACCCCCCCCCCTGCCACTTCTCTGTGTTTCCTCTACTTCTGAGGGCTACCTCCATTCCAGGACTCTTGGTGAATCAACCAAGTGAAAGCTTCGAAAGTTGGGAATCTCGAGATGGTCTTTAAAAATCCTACACAGCAAGAAAAAGATGAGCTCTGTCCCTTCTGCTTCTGTGACTCACTTTTCCTCTCGGCCTGAGTTTCCTCTGTGAGGGGGCGGCGCCTCACTTCCACGTGATGGTCTGTCACAGCCCCGGGGCCTAATGCGCGGCAGGTGTGTCCTGTACATGGCTCCACATCCCCACCCCCCCACACCCAAAACCACAAGGTTGAGGCAATAGATGTGATAAGATTTACCCCAAGCAAGAGGTCCTTTTTATCCCCTGAAGACACAAACTCTAGAGTCTTGTTTGGTCGTGCTGCTAATGAAGGACAGTTGCTGAAAGACAGGCACTTCTGATTGATGTGATTGGGAGCAGGCATTCCATCAGGGGGTCCCCCCAGGAGCCAAAGGTTGTGGCCTTTACTTGTGGTTCCAGTGAGTCTGAATTAAAAAAGATCATCCCACATGTCCTGTATGACTTAGGTTCAAATCAGCTAAACCTTGAACTTCTACTTAACAGGTGCCCCCGCTCCCCCCCCGCTGCCCCCAGCGCACAAGTCCCAGATCATAAAGACTCCTGTGGGTGGGGATCTTATTTTATCCCTATTCACGTGGAGGGATCAGTGTATATTAACATCACCTAGAAACGTCATTGCTACTGGCTGAGTGACTGACACGGTGACTTAATTAATAAAAATGGCCTCAAAGCCTTAAAATCTGTAATATCACCGTCTGCATTCACTGGTTCTCTATGTACTAATCCAGCGATGGAGTAAGCCCCAAGTAGAACCATGAAACTTTTTCTCCCTAATATGATTGATAGAGCACCCCCACTCCCCTCTTCACATCATACACACACACACACACACACACACAGGGATGCTGATAAGGGCCAGTAGGAGCCTTTTAGGAGGTGTTGGTGTGCTGTGGGAACTTCAAAAAATGGACCCACATCTGCAACAGTCAGTGAACCAGGTCTGGCTTCTGGTACAGTAGACTTGATCATTATCTTGATGCCAATTTGCTAATCAGCCCCAATCGGGCGTGTCCTTGGGACACATTGGGGAGGTTATAATTCGAAACCGTCTTTATTCAGGAGCCTCCAATCCGTACGGATTTGAACCCACAGCTCTTGCAAGAACAGAATACTATGCTTTTAGTTGGAATATCTTGACTAAAGAGACCCTGTTCGTCAATGTGATGCAATATGATCTCTCTCTCTTTTCAATCCCACTGTAGTGAGAAGGCGACCAAAGTGCAGGACATCAAAAACAACCTGAAAGAGGCGATCGAAGTACGTGTTTGGGGCCTTCCTCTCTTCTCTTAGCCCCCTTCTCAGGCAGTGCTGTCCCCCTGACTGCTTTGCTGACTCGTTTTCAGACCATCGTGGCCGCCATGAGCAACCTGGTGCCCCCTGTGGAGCTGGCCAACCCTGAGAACCAGTTCAGAGTGGACTACATTCTGAGCGTGATGAACGTGCCTGACTTTGATTTCCCTCCTGTAAGCTAAGCTCTTGGGTTGTTCCTCCCCGCACCCCCCCCCCCGGCCTGGCCCATGGGGCCGCACAGGTGATGAGCCCCAGCCGCTGGTCACCTGTGTCAGCCACTTCCGGAGAAACACCTTTCGGGAAAAGTGAATTCCCTCAGGGTCCTTCATGTTCAAAACCAAAGTCTTAAGAATCAAAGTAGGGTTTTTGCTCAAGATGGGGGAGCCAAATTCGATCAGCCCTTGAAAGTCCTGGCTCACCCATCCCCACAAGTAAACACCCCACTTTAATCCTCGTGTTAGTAGATTGTGTTTGTGAGGGAAGATGGCCCGGGTTGTGTCACAGCCCTCGTTATGCCCTCGTACCCGTCTTGTGACAAACCAAACGGTATGTTACGTGTGGCTCACAAATGCTAATTGTCCAGTTAGATGAACGGATCCGAAGATAGCAAAGAAGGCAGAAAGGAAGGGCCAGCCCTGAGTTTTATAAATGGGAGACGTTCTCGTTTTCAACAATTTGCCGTTTGACCTTTATGAAGTTTTAAATCAGTCCTTGCGTTGGGGCAAATTTTTTAAAAAGGAAAAAAAAAAGGACTTTCAGCTAAATTATAACTTGGAGATTTTCTTCTGTGTGTCCTCGTTGGCGTGCGGGACACTGTTTACAAAGATTCTCTGTCCCATAAAGAGCTATTTTTAGGTGACACAAAACTGCCCATGCCCAAACGTATATGTTTTGACCCCTTTGTAGGGGAAGAGTGGTTTCTCAGAGGGGAACGGGAAACAAGATGGAAAGATGCGCAAGTTTATAAGGCCCAGAAGGAAAAGACTTGTCTACAGTTAGAACAATGAGTTATTGTGGCCTTTTGTCAGGCTTTCCTGGGAATTTGTGTTTGTGTATTTTAAATGGGCTTGGCTGCAAACTTCTACTAGCAGGGAAGCAGTATTAATAAGTAGGTCTAGGTAATTTTTTTTTTTTTAAATAGCACTTCTTTGAAAAAAAAACAAGCGGTCAGCACGATATACATAATGCATATTTCTAATAGAAGGAAAAATGGCAGCCGGCTGAAAATGCACCAGAACAGTAACATTTTATTAGTCGTGCTGATAGCTGAACTTTGTGTCCCTACCTACTTTTAATTCTTCTCTTGCCGAATTCATATTTGAAGAAAAACCTCTTTCCTTGTAAGGGAAGATTGCCCCCATATAATTAAAAATGTTTCTATGTTCAAATGAAATGTGAATCATAACCTACTACAATTTAAAAACAACAGAGGTTATTTGCTCCTTTCTTTCTCCCTATTACGACCCTTCCCAAGGGACAGGCACTGACAAGGCCAGATTTGCCAGCGATTCCCAACCGTAATATTTTTTGGGTAAAATTCAGATTTCCCTGGAAGGGAAATTTCATCCCAGCCCATCTTTCATGTTTTCACAACACTGAATCATTCCTTGGCATATTCTCCTAATGCAGATTAATGTATATCTTTCCCATAAAAGCAATTGTGTGGAGAAACAAAATGATTCAGTAGTTTACTCTGTCCGCCCCCCCCCCCAAAAAACATAGGAGGAACACTACCCAAGACCAGTTAATTCATAATCAGAGGACAGCAGGAATTAATTACTTTGCCTTTTAATTACGTTTCACAAATTGAATGAAAGTTCTTTTGAGCACAGAGTCACTAATTTGGCTCGCAAGTGGGAATCCCACCCCGTGCTGGTCACACAGTGAGCTGTGGCATCTGGACTGTAGGGGCAGCCCGCCTGCCTGGGCTCAAGCTCATCTGTGTTCTCTCTTGTGTTCACTCTCAGGAGTTCTATGAGCATGCCAAGGCTCTGTGGGAGGATGAAGGAGTGCGTGCCTGCTATGAGCGTTCCAACGAGTACCAGCTGATCGACTGCGCCCAGTAGTGAGTAACCTCTCTCCCCCAGCCATACACAGCATAGGAACAAATGGAGAAAACACTAGAAATCTCAACTCCAGCTTATTAAGTTATTTGCAAAGGGGTTCCGTTCATAGGAGCCAGCCAGTTAAGTCCCACCTGCACTTAGAAAGTTCTGGTCTGATTCATTTGTTAATTGCACTTTTTAGTGCAGTGACATTATTTTACATAAACAATGCCTGTTCGAGCAAAATGATAATTACTTGCAATAAAGTGATGTTTGTAGTTAATTAGCTTGAGGTAATTAATTGGATTGACCTCCAAGCTTTTAGGAAGATTGGGCAGCTCTCACGCTTTGAATAATGTAAAAATACTGTATTTTATTGCTGTCATTTAAAAACCGAAATGGCGAGGACAAAACCATACCCCGCCCCCTCCTTGGTAGCTGAGAATCGCCTTGCTATTTCTGCAATCAGGTAGGTGACTAGAGTAGTTACCAGAGTCCAGCGTTACTGGCTGCTGTTCATCTAGAGTTATTCGTTCACTCTGGGCTTTAATTCAAGGATGCTTCCCCTTATGGAGAGTGGACCGCCCTCACCCTGCACCTGCTACAGTAAATACGGGATGCTCAGGGCCACAAAGAAATTGTTTTAGAAGACAGTGTTTGTAGGCTGCGGTTGCACAAACATGCTAAGTGGTCTCAGCGAAAATACTCTGAAGTTGGGGTGTCTTGTGACTTGGGGGGGGTAATAGATATTTGCGACGTTCCAGCCTTTCTTCTGTAGGTCGCTGAAACTCAGAAGCGACTTTGCTGTAGAATATCAAGTCATCAGAACCAGGGTTCCAGGCTGGCTCACAAAACCCTACAATTGCATTTGCTTCGAAGCCCCAAACCTGAGGGATTTATTGTGAATACCAGTTGAATAAATAGGAGGGAGGAAGAGGTAACAGCAAACAAACAGCAAGTTCCCTAGAATCCTGTTATCTACAAATCACAGAAGCTTCTGGTAGGCTCTGTGAAACCTATCAACGTCCCCCTCCCCGGCCCCGCCTTCCCATAGGAAGCGCACAGCCAGTTGTCTCCAGATATCGGGGACACAGCTGCGTGGCGGTGGTCGCTACACATCAGTCTGTGTATTTTCCCAAGGAGCAGAAAAACAGTCCTTCTTGGCCAGTCCCGGTGACCCCAACCCCCTACCACTTCTTCAGCAAAGTCCCTGATTTTCTCAAAAGTTTGAACTAAAAGCTGGAAGTGCTAATTATAGTAACTCAAAACAAATGGAAATCCTGGAATTGTTTGCGTTTTGTATTTTGGATCCAAGTCAGAAGTACAGGTACAAGATGAGGAGGGTTTAACCCTCCCCACTTTGAGTGCTCTGTCGGGGGGCGGGGAGAGAGTAACAGTTTCATGAACAGTAATTTACCCAGGTTTCTGGGTTGTTGTTTTTTTGTTGTTGTTTTTAATTTCACACCATTTAAAAGTTTTCTTAGAGCAACATTATGTTGCTCCTGCAACTTTATCTGAAAATGGCAACATTTGCACAGTTTATGGCAAGTTTTAAGGAAACTTGGAGGGGGGAAAAAAAAGAAGAACATAGGTTACAACTTTTAAAATGTCTTCCCCGGGCGGGATGCTAGCGCATGGGGCACGCTGACCAGTATGTTTCTGGTTGAACTGCCTTTACGTTAAAGTTGCCATACTGGTATCTTGCCCATTTCTGAAGCTGCCTATTTTTATTTGTTGAGCTGGGGTTTGGCTGGCCTGGCTCCAGATGTCTCTCTCACAAGATTTGGTGCTGATGATCTATTTATAGAACTGTGGTTCTGTTGCCATGGCAACGTGCTGGAGGCCAGGGCGGCTGGGGAGCTATTTCTGGACTGGTGCTGTAATGTAGGACTGATTGGGCAAGTTAGTATATCCTCTAAGCCAGACTAACTCTAAACTGGTAAAGAGGACGGGGGGGCGGGGGGAACGTACAGAATTTCTTCAAAGTATGACTTTTCTCCCTTTGTGATTTTCTTTTCAGTTTTAAAACAATTCCAACCCCCCCATCTCCTCCCCCTGCCCCAGGAAAAACTCCCCCCCCTGCCCAGTTTTAACATTCATTTTCCATATTAATTAAATCACCCCAATCTTTCTAAAGTTCCTTTTCCTAATGGTGTGTCTAGTCCAGCAGCACCTCGAGGTCGTCATGGCTTTGGGAAAGTCGTGGCCCACTCTTGATATAAAGCTTCCTTATGGTGGATGGTTGTCTCTCAGGCCCCAAGCCCCTCTTTTGTGCAGGATCCCGGCCATAGAAGGATCCATAACCTGGATGGCTGTGGGATTTTTTTTAAAAACTCAAAAGTCTCCTATCTGGAGGGTTCTATTTCATGGACCAAACAGAACGGAAGGGAACTTTGTGTTTGTTTCCTGTTCGGTGTGGTTAGGCCAGAAAGGGCCCCTTTGTGTCAACCTCTTTTGTTCTCTTTTAATAAGTGAGATTCTTAAAAAGTAGGAGGAAGGGATACCCATTCTGAGTAATTCAAACAAATCTCATTTTCACGAGTCCCTTGAGGGGAAAATCCTTGCTGCTTTTAAGTGTGCCGTTTTACTTTAAAAAAAAAAAAAAGGAATGGAGTAGAAGTATACAGTTTTCAAATTACTTGCCATTTTAGTCAACGGCGAACAACTTGAAAATTTTAAATTTGTAATAATTTTCAAATGGCACAAGATCAGGTAGGCGGCCTGGTTTGGGGGTCTCTGCTGGTTGCACAGAACCAAGTCCAGAGTCCCCCAACCCCACCCCCGCTTTGGTCCTGTGCTGTACCTGTAGGCCAGGGGCCCTGAGAGGCCTAGATCTACTAGTCCCCCAAATACCTTTTCTTAAATGCTGCTTGCTCTAACCTTTCTAAGGAATAGGCTTTGAGTCCTCAACATAACCAACACAGACAAAACTCCCGTTGACTGAATGCCATATAACTGTGACACCCTCATTTCCATTGAGCTCAACTTCATAGCGAGACAGGAATTAGGGGCAAATCAGCATGAGCTCATGAGCTCCTTGAACACCCCTGTGTGTCTCTGTTCTTTTCCTCCCAGCTTCCTGGACAAGATTGATGTCATCAAGCAGGCTGACTACGTGCCCAGCGATCAGGTAGGTGGAAGTCCTCACAGTCAGAGGACTTGGAGCTCTCTTTCCAAGCTAGTCAAGACTTTGGCTTCCAGTTGGCCATTATTAATATTCCAGTTGGTTTGGGTGAGATCCATTGACCTAGATCTTGTTTTAGGATCTGCTTCGCTGCCGCGTCCTGACTTCTGGAATCTTTGAGACCAAGTTCCAGGTGGACAAAGTCAACTTCCAGTAAGTGAACGGTTCCCTTTTCAAGATAGAGACTGGTTTCCTTCAGTTCCCACCAGCAGAGTGGTGGGGTGACCGGGTGTCCTGTGTCTCCTGCAGCATGTTTGACGTGGGTGGCCAGCGCGATGAACGCCGCAAATGGATCCAATGCTTCAATGGTATGGAAGCCATAGACCGCTCTGCTCTGTAAGGACGTTGTGCTCTTTGAATCATTAAGGTTCACGTTCACCTCTAACAAGCATTGCTTTTGCTTTCTTGCGTGAAGATGTGACTGCCATTATCTTCGTGGTGGCCAGTAGCAGCTACAACATGGTCATTCGGGAGGACAACCAGACCAACCGCCTGCAGGAGGCTCTGAACCTCTTCAAGAGCATCTGGAACAACAGGTTTGGGAGCATCCCCTTGGCTTCCTCCCAGCCTCTCACCGGGGGGGCGGGTCCTGTGACTGATCCCAAAGCCCTGTATTTGCACTGTTACTAGAAAGAGTCTTGTGCATGTATGTCAGACCCCTTGCAGAAAGAATGCTTTCTTTTCCTGGACATTAAGCCCACATTGCTCTCTGTTAGATGGCTGCGCACCATCTCTGTGATTCTGTTCCTCAACAAGCAAGACCTGCTCGCTGAGAAAGTCCTTGCTGGAAAATCGAAGATTGAGGACTACTTTCCAGAATTTGCTCGCTACACTACTCCTGAGGATGGTACGTATGGCCTCCTGCTGTTGGACTGGAGCATAGTTCAGTTCATGGGTCCCATACACTCCCGAATGTGCTACAAGTCTCCCTCTCTGGAGGTTTTCCACATAGGAAATGAACAACCTCTAAGAATGTAAATCTCCCTTCCCTCCCACCACCAAACTGTAAGGGATCTGTAGGGAAGCAAGAAAAAAGTTAAGGGGCCACAATGATGCCAGCACCCTAGCTCTGCCCTTAACCTTTTAATGACCTCACCAAAATGGTTCTGTTCTTCGCAGCTACTCCCGAGCCCGGAGAGGACCCCCGCGTGACCCGGGCCAAGTACTTCATCCGCGACGAATTTCTGGTGAGGAGAGACCGTCTTTGGTTTTCTCTTTTCTCCGGGGGGTAAATTCACTTGAACATTTGGGGCTCAAAAGCTCTTCAGTTCTTCCGTGCCATTTCACTGGTGGCCAGTGAGGATTTTAGCTTGCACGTAGCCGCGGTAAGTAGCCGGTCCGCTCGCCCCTGGCGGGTAGCCCGTCGATGGCTGGAGGGAGGTGGCGCGGACTCGGCTCTCTTGTGTCCGCCCCGCAGAGAATCAGCACCGCCAGTGGGGACGGGCGGCATTACTGCTACCCACATTTCACTTGCGCCGTGGACACCGAGAACATCCGCCGCGTGTTCAACGACTGCCGGGACATCATCCAGCGCATGCACCTTCGTCAGTACGAGCTGCTCTGAGAAGGGGACACCCAAATTTAAGTAAAGCCTTGAGCACAATTCAGAGTGAAGCGTAATTGTACACGCAGTTGATCACCCACCATAGGGCATGATTAACAAGGCAACCTCTCCTTTTCCCCCCAAGTGATCTTGCGAAGCCCCCCTCTCCCCTTCAGCTTGCTTAAATATTCCAAATTTAGAAAGCTTAAGGCGGCCTACAGAGAAAAAGAAAAAGGCCACAAAAGTTCCCTCTCTCTTTCAGTAAATAAAATAACAGCAGCAAACAGAAATAATGAAATAAAAGAAATAAATGAAAGAAAAAGAATAAATGAAATAAATATTGTCTTGTGCAGCATTAAAAAAATCAAAATAAAAATTAAATGTGAGCAAAGGATGTGAGTCCTGTGAATTACTTGCGGCTTCGCACAAATATCCATTGTTCATGGTTTGTCCCCATAATTTGGGTTTCTGAAAATTCAGAAAGGCTACCACTGTCCTTTGCCCAAGCCCACGCCCCTTAGGAAACCATTAGCCCATGTAAAGACTCCCGAACTGGTCATTGCCACCCTATCCATTCTACCAACTTCCCTTATATAGGTCATCACGTTGTGCCTGTTTTACCTAGAATCTCTCCCCAAAATAGGTGTTAGGTTTGGGGTGCTCTGTCCAGCTTTAGGATATGGACTCGCGTATGTGGGGGGAAATTCAGGAATGCAGTGTTTCAAAAGACGGGAAGTGGGGTGACTCAAGAAATGGTGTACAATGTAGACCTTTACCAAATCATCACATGGTACACTTAATTATCTTGGAATTTTGTCCGTTATCCCTCAAAGTTGGGGGAAAAAAAAAAAACGAGCTATCAAATAGAAATGGCTTTGAAACAAATGGCTAAACGTTTGGGGACAAACTTAAACTGGATCTCTCTCTCCGTACACAAAGGAATTTTATGTGGATCAATCACCGTTTAAATACAAAAAAAGTCCTTTAAAATGGATATTTTAACAATTAGAATATTGGTTTATAGAAGGCCTCTTCTATATGATCTAACCTCCACAAGCCATGGGGGTTGAGTGGGCTATACAAAGTGAAAATTATATAAAACAAAATATGAATGGGGTGGAGACTGGGTAAAAATCTGTAACAAAGGGTTGATTTCCCTAATAAGCAAAGTACTCATAACTAATAAACCGTCATAAAAGTGCAAAATTCACGAACACACAGTTTACTTGAGAAAAAAATACAGTAACGGGGAAAATGGGGAGTCTCATAATAAAATGCACTATAAACTCATGGGGGGTGCTGGGGGGGTGGTGGTCAGCATCCAGAGGCTGCACATGAAACTGAGTAAAGCTGTAATGAACTGTGGCTTGGGTCTGAGGTCCACTTGGGCTCCCTAATCTTCATCCCCAGGGTCATACCTTAAGCTTGTGGTCACCCCTGGTGTGGCTTCCTGGAGAGGTGGGAGAAGAGACCAGCTTGTCTTCAGCATCAACCGCTGCACCCTTTGAAAGTGGCCAAATGAAACATTAAGTTGATTCTGTAATTCAGCCCCAAAATCCATTTATGGTTCTAGTTTCCAGATAAAATTAATCCCAGCCAAATTAATCCTCTCACATAGCTCCCCAGGGGTGAGCAAAATAAGCCCAAAGAGGGCAGAAAAAGTAGCAAATACCCATCTCCATAAACCCTTCGAAAGCTTCCTACGTAATATTCAGTCCACATAAAAACTGTGTGCGTGCTCTGTAGATTTTGTTGCAAAACAACTCTCCAAAACACCCCCAAATTAACATCAATCTACATAAGTGCTTATTATGCAAATATAGCCAAAAGACCAACCCACCAATCCCCATAATCCTCCAAAGTACTCCAAATAAACAGCTAACAAAAACCTGGGTACCAGCTATCAAGACCAGCCCACCAGGATGGCCAGCTCTTCCAAGATGGCTGCCTGTATGGCACGCCCCCCCGCCCACATAGAAATTCTGGAACCTTCTCTGAAGAATAAACAGAAGATTACCACAGCACTAGCCACAGATCCATCAAAATTAGGAAACAAATTCTCAGGCCCTAGAGCAGTTAAACCAAGAAAATGATGCCCCAGAACCCCACCCCCTTGCAGGTCAAAACTGGTCCTTTTATGACCCTCCTCTAGAAGGAGGGTCATGAAAGTCAGTTACCCAGCACCTATTATGTGCCAACCACTGCCCAGTGAGACAGTTTTGGCCATCACCACCATTTTACCAATGAGTCAACCCAGGCCTAGAAAGTAATTTGCTGTAAGAGACAAGGCTGGTAAACGGGGAAAATGGGCTTCAAACTCAGGTAGCCAAAGCCCACTGCCTGACTACCACACCATACTGTCCTTCTGGAAGACAAAGCAAAAAGAGGAAAAGGTCTCCTGTTGTTCTTTCCAGGATGCCAGTTGTCAGGAGTCCATGACCTATGACCCCAAGGGGAAATCCTGCAGGCTCTTCTGGATGGTGGAGTAGGTGGGGTCGGTGGCAGAGCAGGGAGGGGGTCCTCTTTCCTCGGACAGTAGCATTGGACATACTCCTGCCTTCCCCCCAGTTCAAAGGGTTGCTTTGGTTCCCCCTCCAGTCACTCAAATGTGTTTGAGGGTTCCTTCTGTTCGTTCCTTAGGATTTATTCCTTCTATTGAAAACACTTCCATTTCTACTTTCCCTCTGACCTGGTCCCAAACATAACTTTTATAGGGTTACTTTAAAATCTAAATTCTAGGATCTTCAGAAAGCCAAAAAACTATGAGGAATTTCATCTAAATCTTTGATTACAAGTAGCCATTGGTTTTTAAAATTTCAGCTGAATTTTACATCTTCATTTGAATGCAAAACAACATTTTTCTAAAGGTAACAATTTGTGCCACACTTTCTAAAGGTGTATAGACCATATATAACTATGTATTGACCTTCTAGAGAATAAGTAAAAATAATAATAATAAACCACTAAGCTCCCCAATAAAGCTTAGTATGAGGAGGGTCTAGAATTGAGCAGAATCTTTACCCACTTTCATTTTTATTTAAATGTGGGCAAAATCATACTCCCCAAAATGACCATCTCTGCAAAACCCGCCTATGTCAAATGACATTCTATTTTAATGGTTTCTTGGCCATGACTGGTCATCTTTGTATGCAATGAATGTATAGAGAGCATAGGATCTCTGCCAGCCACTGAGAGTTTTGCTCTCATGGGGTTTATATTCTATCAGGGGAGACATGTATTTACCAAATACATAATCAAAAGAATTACAGATGGCGACAAGGCCTCCGAGCTAATAAAAAGAATGGGGCAATGGGGAATGGGAGATATTTGGGGAGGGATTCCACTTTAGATAGAAGAGCCAGAGAGGGCCTCTCAGGGGAGGTGACTTTTCTTATGGGAATGCAAAAGATGAGAAGGAGTTGCCATCCATGTGAGTAGCTAACATCGATATTTTTGATTAATATTAATTATTAAAACATCATACTTAATATTTATGGAGTACTTTAACATGTGATAGGGGCTGTCCTAGGCCCTTTTTGTGAATTATCTCATTTAATCTCTTTGAAACCCTTTGAGGATGTATCCTATCATCTGTACAAGATGTACCCAATCTGTGCCCCATGGTACAAAATTTTAAAAAGTGATATTTAAAACATGGTGAATAATTTATGCAAATTATGCTTTTAACGATGGCTACACTAAAAAGGCCATTGCAGTAAGCACTTAATTTGAGTAATTGCTACCCAGGTTCCTCTTTTAGAGTTAGGGGATTTGGTGTCTTTGTGATAATTTTCCTGTGTTTAAACATGCATATACTATGAACAACTCAAGTTTTCTGGTTTAGTCTAATGTATTCTCTCAGTTAGGAATGTATTCAGCTGCCCGTGACAGAACCTTGACTTGGGGTGGCACAGATAAACAGAGGCTTATAACTCACTTCACAGGAATCCTGAAGAATTCTGAAAGTGGCTCCTAGTGTTACTTAAGCAGCTCATCAATAGCAGGGCCGGTGCCTCTAACAATTCTCTTGGCTTCTTTCTCTTGGTTGCAAGACGGTATCACATCTTTGCCCAAGGCAGAGAGGTGAAGGAAAGACAGCCCAGCCGACTGTCTCTTCTATCAGGAATGCAAATGCTTTGTAGCTGCCCTTCCATTTTCTCAACCACGTGAAATACACATAGATACCTAGATAGTAAGATAAATAGTCAGATGCCTAGATAACTAGCTAGACAGACAGAAAAATGTATGTTTAATAACACTACCACATACACAGAGAGAGGATTTATAATTTTCTGTTGCACAGAGCTTGATGGAACATCTAGAAAGATCTAGCCAGTACCTACAGTTTTTAAGGATTAGGGAAGATAATAGGAAAAAAAAACTTTAAATCATAAGAGAGCAATTTGTATAATTCTATGTAAATCAGTTTGAAAGCCTAGACGAAATAGATAGTTGTCCAGAAAAATGCTGTTTATCAAAACTGACCCTGGTGGAGACAAAAAAAAAAATCTAAGCAAATCAGTTACCATAGGGAAAAAAAAAAAACCCTCACATTACCATAGTGAGCACCATGACAAGTTGGATCCAGGCTCTTGTTGGAGTGGGAAGCTAGGAAATGGAAGGAGACATGAGGGAGGCTAATGGGGTGTTTGTTTCTTGACCTAAATGCTGATTAAACAAATTTATTTGAGAAAATTCACTGAGTTATATACCCATGATTCATGCAGATTCCAGCCTGTATACTATACTTCAAAATTTTTTTTTAATTGAGAGAAAGGAAGAAGGCACTAGACCCAGGTAGTTTTACAGAGAATTCTACTAAATCTTTAAAGATCAAATAATTCCAACACTACTTAAATTATTTCAGAGTATAACCAAAGGAAAATTTCAAAATTATTTTTGTAAAACAGGTATAACATTGATTTTAAAATATGCCAAAGATTGCATCCAAAAATAAAATTACAGACCAATCTCATTTATAATATCAATGTGAAAATTTTAAAATATAAGCAAACAGAATCCAATGTTACACTTAAAAAATAATACATCATGCCTAGATGAGATTTATTCTATGAATTCAAGGTTGGTTCAATATTAGCAGAATAGCAATATTTGTAAAATTTAATACCCATTTATATTTTTGGAAATCCAATAAAATAGTAATCAATGGGTGCTTTCTTAATGACTATATGTATACTATATATATAATTATATATATATTTTTATAGATCATATATATTTTTATATATTATAAATTGTATATATAACATATAAAGTACACTATGCATTATCTAAAATGTACTTTCCTATATGTTTTACATATATAAATATATTAATTATAAGTATACTAAATATATTTAAATATAAATATATTATTAACTGACGATTAAGT